TTCTACTCTTTTTGTTCTCCTTGGCTTGAAGTCTGCTGAACCAACATTCAGGCAGTTTAGTTTTAATTTGCCTGAAACTAATTTGAGAAAAGTACATTTCCCTCTTTCATTAATATCTTCTTTTAGCTTTATGTCTTTAACAATGGTATGAGTGCCAAATGGCCTCACTGCAGGAAGGAAAACATATTTGCTTAATTGGTTAGCACTATGAATCAGAAGCCTGATTCCAATACTCAACTATATGCCAGTAAAATAAGACCTTTCTCCCCCAAAGATCTTATTATGATTGCTTATCTATTGGGTGCATTAAAAGGCGCCTTCTTTAATAGATCTACCACTATAAGAGAGATCTTTAACAGTAAAGTTATTACTGTGAACTATTTTTAAAAAGTTTAATCTTCTAAGGGGCATTTTAATTTAATTTCCCTCTAAACTTGAAAACTCCTTATATCTTTTTTGAAACTCCAGCAAGAAAAAGATCTCTTTGTACAGTCATTTTGTATAGTTCTGGAGGAGTGAGGCAACAGGTGGAAATGCAGAGTTGATCTCAGCTTAATTATCAGAGGCCTTCAGTTACTTTGAAAGTTTAGAAAACGCCCCTTCCTCAGAGGAGGGGTTGGAGATACAGGATGAACATAGCACGAAAGGGCTTGAAAAATAAAGCAGGGAAGCTCCCCACTTCAAACTAGGTATGGATTAAATTTAAAATTTGTTATTTCCCTGACTTTTTAGGAATTTAGCTTGATATGGAATTCTAAAGTAATAATTATATCAAAAGCATTGCTCCCTTTTAAAGAACAACAGAAATATCTTTACAATTAGAATAAGAAAATGAACTATATGGCTGGTAATTTTTATGCTTAAGTTTAATATATACACATGTTTGTTTATGTTATCCTTCTCTAGAACTTTGCTGCCCAGTTCGATGGGAAAGGAGTTGGAGGTGGCCCTGGACCAATGGTATGCTTATCTCTTTTTACCTTAGCCAAAAAATTACTGAATAGAGAATTTCTTTTATGTTAAATTTCACATTGCCATTTATTTAGCTACCTAGATAGCATTCAATACTTAGATCAGATAAAAGTAGCAACTTTTTTTGGTATTCAAATATATACAAAAATCTAAGCCTGGTTTAAGGGAGTTCAATTTTCTCTACAAACATGCCTCTTAGAATAAATCAGATATTTATATCAAAGAAATAATCTCTGGACACAGTAATCATAACTTAGATAAATCAATTTAATTCAAAACAGTGACCACTCTGATTAAATTTTTTACATCCTTTGGTATTGTTTCAAATTTTAAGCATCATTAGAGACACAGAAGTATTATGTTTTATAAACTTGTTGGAAAGGATCAGCAAGTTCTAGTCCAGACCATTCATTGTATAACTAGAGAGTTTAAGCCCTTTCCTGAGGTCATGCAAGTGGCTAATGACAAACTAGGACTAACCACCAGACAAGATGTCTGATATTGGATGGCATCGTGCATCTAGTGCTTGAATAAAATACTAATTTATTCAACAAGTATTTCTCAGGCCTTCAATGAACCCCAAACTGTAATATGCATTGGGGGTATAATAGTAAATATGATAGATTCTCATCCTCCCTCAAGGAGTTGGAAATGTAGGAAATGTTTCTTTTTATTCATTTTGATAAAAATTCTTTTTTAGTCTATTAATTACAAATTAATAGGAGAGAATGTGAGTAAAATTTAGCATTTATATCACTCAGCAAAAATATTAATCAATATATGCTATAATTTGAGTGACATTTAGAAAAGTTTCCTATATGATTATGACAATGATGATCTATCTTTAACAAGTGAACCTTTTAACAAGCATTAGTGAGAGCTATTAAGAAAAAGAAACCTATATGAGCATGCAATAGTATATATTATGTATAAAATAGAGGGAAAATATGTTGAAGTTAAGACATTAAGTTGATTAAACACTACAGTTTAATGCACACATAAAATTTAGGGATTTTAATTAATTGTTTCCAAACAAAGGTATTTATCTGCCCAAAGCTAACAAGGTCCTTGAAAAATAAATTTCACCTGAATAATGTATTCAGTGCTCTATCTTCAAAAGAAGATGTTTGGCTGGAGTTAATGGTCCACAATAAACTAATACACTATAAGGGCAAGATAATATTTTCTGTAAATTAAAACTCTCACTTGAAAGTTATGTGCCTTTAATTGATGATTTGCAATTTCCTGACTTTTCCTGGTAATTTAAAACATTCATGTAGGAAATTAAGAATTAGAGATTTCCTTCTGGCTTTGTTTACATTGGATATTTGAAATTAGCCATTTCAACTAATGCTGGACATTAGTTGAAATGGCTAATTTCAAGTAAGCAATACCTATATTTTAAGAAGAAGCTAAAGGGGAAAAAACAAAGCACTAATAATAAAAAAAAAGACTACATAAGCCCAGAAAATTAATATGGATTTCAGATTCCCCTGACTTTGGAACACCTCTCTGGGGGGCATAGAGCAGAGTGTTTTACTTTTAAATATCAATAAAATATTATTTAAACTTGCACATCCATACACATTCACAGTCATATGTAATCAACAGATATGTGTTTCACAAATAGGAAATATAGGCAGCAATAAAGCATTAAAATAATTTTCCATGTTCAAAAATCAATAACTATAAAACCCTAGAGGGTTCTTCCCTGAATTAATGAATACTCATTGTCTGTCTCACAGCCTCCACAAAATAAACTCCTTTTTATGTAAATGAACTTGTGGCAAATACATGGAAAAATGAATAAATATAATTAAAAATTCATGCTGTCAAAGGAAATTATTTTTTAATGTATACCTAAAAAGATATTTGGATTGAAAAGTGACAGTTTCTTTGAATGTCGAGGCAATTTCCAAGACCAAATAAATAATTCTTATAATTAAGATGATGTGCCTTTTCATAAAATTCGTATCATTTCACTCTTGGCATTAACACCGTGGGGCAGGCTTGACAGCAGAGTCCCTGTGTGTCATGAACAAATTACTGGAGACTTGTCTGTGTGATATTTTCAGCAGTAGAGGAACGGCCCCTACAGAAGAGCTTGCATGGGCATTGATTACTGCAAAGGGGAATCAAGAATGGATATTTGCCTTGCAAACTAGTAACACTCTGTTTTACTCTACTTATGTGCTACAGAATAAAGAACAAAGGGGAGAACCATTGGCTTCCATTCAGGCCATACTTTCAATAACAATAGTATACAATAGATCCTTCCAGTCCGAAGTTTCAATAACATTTTACTTTTCCTTTACCCCTCATTACATCCAATTTTGTTTGACATTTTCATCAGTCACCGACAGCCCTTAAAGGAGCTTTAAGGTTATAACAAACCTCCCTCTAATCATTAAGAAGGATTCTTTTATCCTTTTCAATTTATGCCCCTGGGGCAATAAAAATATCCATTTCTTAGCTAAGGATGACATGGGAGATGACGTATGATCAAGGGAATCCAAATGGAAATGCTTCGTCAGCTGCATAGAAGGTAGTCACATATTCTGAACTATGCAAGACTGATTCACTTCATTGCATTTGAACAATCTCACTATGTCCGCTGTGCACAATTTTAAGGATGGACCCTGTGGCCTTCCCATCTAATCTGAGTTCTATTGATTTGAGTTAATAAAAAAGGAAAGGCAAAGGCAGAGTAATAGTGGAGGAAACTTGGGTCCTTAAATGCTTCTTTGGCAAAGGGCAAAAACTATGAAATGAAACCAGGACCATTCTGTTCAGCTGTTCATTAATAAATGTCTATGGTGATGGCTCTAACCCTAACCAAGGCCATGACCACTGTCAGTGCTAACTCTGTCTGTCCTGTTTCCAGGGTCTGATGGGACCCAGAGGCCCTCCTGGCGCAGCTGGAGCCCCTGTGAGTACAAAAAGCCTGTGGAAAAAGAAAAAAAAGCCTTTATGTAAAAAGCTCTTATGTAAAACGATAGAATTAAATAAAGGCTTGAAGTATGGCGTATTGTTTTCTCCTAGGGCCCTCAAGGTTTCCAAGGACCTGCTGGTGAGCCTGGTGAACCTGGTCAAACTGTAAGTACATTCATCCCCTTTGTGATAAATACTTTTTTAAAAGAAATGTATTAATATCTCCTAACACAATGATGGGTCTCCCATTCTCTAGGGTCCTGCGGGTTCTCGTGGTCCAGCTGGCCCTCCTGGCAAGGCTGGTGAGGACGTAAGTATTTACTCCTAAGCATTTCCAAGTGCCATTTAAATCCTCCTGCCTCAAGGAGAGTTTCTAGCTTCAAACGAAGTATTCTGCCAAGAGCCAAATATGCCCGATATAACCGACCCCATATGGAAAATAGTATGTTAGTGAAATATTAATTAATTGGATTGTATTTAAGAAAATATAATTGTTAATTAAATATATATTTGGATCCGCATTTTTATGGGATGCCATTTTTCCCTATTGTGAAAACCAAGATCCCCACTTTCATCTGAGAGTTTACCAAGGAAAGGTTAACCCTATAATGCTTAATTATGTGTTTTAGGGTCACCCTGGGAAACCTGGCCGACCTGGCGAGAGAGGAGTTGTTGGGCCACAGGTAAGACTTTTTACAACAGTATACAGTCCAAACATCAGAGGCATCTCGCATGTAAGATAGCTGCTAAAACTAACTTCAGTCTAAATAACAACCTAGAGGTCTGCATACTTATAACACTTATTGAAGACATCTGACAAATAAGAATGTGGACAGTTTTTATTAATGCAAATAATGTAATATCGATTACAGCAAACATACTATGAACAGCTGAACACAGTATTTTCTACAAACACCATAGTAACTGATACTGATTAGTTACTCAAATAGAGCAAGTTAATTTACTATTCTGTGCTTAAAAATATATTAGTCTTTGATTCCAAGCTTGAATTTTGGTAAGAAAAAAATCTTTCTGAGGGAAGAAATAATTATCTTTTTATTTGGAAAAAACTTCATGTGTCTTCTTGTGTGTGTTTTTTAAGGGTGCTCGTGGTTTCCCTGGGACTCCTGGACTTCCTGGCTTCAAGGGCATTAGGGTGAGCACATTATTTTCCCTGTGAGAGAAAATGTTGATTATTTTTAGGAAAAACCTCAACTATATTTAAAATTCTGGGTGACACATATTTGCATCCAAAGTCCTGGAGTTTGCCAGAGTGAAGAGAGTCAAAGAGTGAAGGATCACTGGGAAGTAGTTTCTTTCCATCTGTTCATAGTTGCCAAGGAGCAGGGATCTCTACAGAGAAAATTGTATAAAATGGCTTAAGAGGTATTTACAGCATCTAAAGATAGGAAGATGATTAAAGATGGAAGGGACTAAAGAGAGCAGCTAGTCCTATATCCTTCTGTTTCCCCTTCAGGGAGCTTTCCTAGGGAAAAGAAGGGCTTTTGCCAGGTGCCGGAGCCCTGGGACTGCATTCTACCGAAGCGGTCACAGGAGTTAGCCAGGAGATAGTAACGGCAGAGAAAGAAGATGTTTGATTTGACCGAGCGCTGCCATGGAACAGCATTTTAATAATAAGGATTTGCCTTTCAGGGACACAATGGTCTGGATGGATTGAAGGGACAACCCGGTGCTCCAGGTATTAAGGTAAAATACTAAATCAGAAACGTTCTTTTTAGAACAACTGATTATAATTTCCCATCGCCACCAGAAAGTGTATTTTGACCAAAAGCTACTCATAGTCTAAAGAGTATCTTATTCTCTCTTCTATACTTCTAATCCCTCAATGGTGGGAACCATGGGATTCTGTGACAAAAGGCCAATCCCTAATAATATTTATTTAATTCAGTATCTTTTATACAGTTGAGATTCAATGTCAATAATTTTTTCCTTCATCTCCTTTCTTCCTATAATTTCAGTTGATCTCTGCAGCCAAAATAAAAGTAAATAAACATAGAGTCAGGTATTAGGACACTATATGTTACTTTAAACTGTAAATTCTCCTTTGCTTTGCACTAATTAGATAGATACATTCATGTCACAATACACTTTTCAGCCTCTTTGCTGTGATTTATCTATTCACACTCAAAAAAATTTTAATTAGGTAATTAAAGTCTCAGAAGTGTGTTATCTCTTGGCTAGGCTCTTCTCTGACAGCATTTTCAACTATAAAATGTTCTCTCTTCTATTAAGGAGATAATGTGATATTAAAGTGAATACCAACGTAATTACAAATTAATGAGTAATGAATACTAGCGGGACCAGAAATGAACATGAATATGGAGAATCTGTCCTAACTTTCCAGCTGCCACACAAATGGATAAGGTCAAACTCGTTCTCTCCAGAGCCTAATATAATAGCTCAGACTACTAATCAAAGCATCATGAAATGGTAAAACTTGCAAGAAGCTCTGGGAACTTCCTCTTTTTGCACATGAGGGAAACTGAGGCTTAAAGAGAATGAGTGACTTGTCCAAAGTCACATTTAGTGGTTAGAAGCACACAGGCTAGAATTCCTGACTCCTATTCTAGTGCCTGTTCCCAAAGAATACACATCATATCGAATCCTACAAATGAAGGCTCCTTAACTGATCTCTCAAATCCTATTTCTTCTATGTCTAAGTCAGGTTATCTTGAAGGAAAGTTCTTTTTACCTGTGCCATGTATCAAATTAAACCACCACTACCCTCACCAGCATGTTTTTTTACTCAAGCATATAGATTGGAAATAAATGACAGTTCCAAAAATTATTACAAAGTTGAAATTTTCATGTATACTTTACAAAAATAAAACTATTGAGTGTTAAAATAAAGAAGGTAAATATGGTAATATTAAAAGCAAATTTATCTTCTGTTCTTTCTTTTTATGTTATCATTTCTAATATATAAGCCTAGTCTAAATGATAGCCAAAATAAAAGGGGGGAATTGGAGTGAGGGTAACACTCAACCCCATCTCCCTAGTGCTGTGATAGTTGGTATTATCCAAATAAATACCCCTATTTTAGAACATTTTTAAATGTATGTGTTTGTCATAATTAACAGTCTATATGTGTAAGAAATGTTACAAAATATATGAATGGTTCAAATGGAAATAATAGGGCAAAAATTACCCAATCAGAAAAGTGTGTGTGTGTGTGTGTGTGTGTGTGTGTGTGTGTGTGTGACACTAACAAAACCTCAATTGTTTTTCATGTAGGGTGAACCTGGTGCCCCTGGTGAAAATGGAACTCCTGGTCAAACAGTAAGTAATAATTACTTTATTGTAAACCTAAATGTGTACACTCCTTGCAAGCTGGAACTTCTTTCATGTTTTTGCTAATTAATATTTCCCTCAGCATTATATTCTTTGATATTTTTCTAATAGCCTTCTTGCATACTTAATTGAAATCTATTACCTTTTAGTTGGAATTCGAATAAGACCTATTTACTTCTAGTGGATTCTTGCGCATGTTAGAAAATGGACAAAGTAAATGATGCCTGTGACTTTTTTAAAGTTGGCATCTGGATTTCACTGAAACTATTTCTGCTTTTAGGGAGCCCGCGGGCTGCCTGGTGAGCGAGGACGAGTTGGTGCCCCTGGCCCAGCTGTGAGTGCTTCCGTTTTTATTCAGCCTTTTTGAAGATCTTCTAATAACTGCTATTTAACTTTCCACTTGACTTTTCCTCTTTATGTTCTCCATAGGGTGCCCGTGGAAGTGATGGAAGTGTGGGTCCCGTGGGTCCTGCTGTAAGTTTTGACACTGAAGAGTGTGTGATGGGAGCCATCTCCTTTATTAATTGCTTACGAAATAACACCATTTAGATATCAATGGGGTCTTTTGAAGGTTCTAATTATACATACTATCCCTGGGGCTGTTGAATGATATATTAAGTAAAATCTACTCTACCTTGAATACCTTGAATGTCTTCCCTTTGCTAAGATACTAATGGCAACAGACCAGCTGTCAGTTTCTTCTCTGCCAATATTAAATAAGATCAAGCCCCTCTAAGCCTTTCAATATTCTGTTGTTGTTGTGTTGCTAATTTACTGGGAGGAAATTTCTTACCACGTTCTACTTTGATTTCAGGGTCCCCTTGGGTCTGCTGGCCCTCCAGGCTTCCCAGGTGCCCCTGGCCCCAAGGTAAAAACATGGTGACAACTGTCATTATATTGATAAACTTCTATAGGGATGAGAAAGATAGAAACTGTGTTTGCAGATAGATAATTTCAGAACAGGTACCTTAATGGACACAGAATGTCCAGTTTTCTCTCTCCAACTTTGAAATACATCACCTCTCTGCACTCGAACACTATGAGCATAGATAGAGAAGGCGACAGAAATGATCCTGTGGGGCTCCTCTGGGATATACTCCCAAACTAAGTGGGGATTGACTAGCTGAGAACCAGAGTCTCTGCCATAGGGACACAGAGAGAGATGAAGCTAGCAGTGGTAGTCAGGATGGTAGAATCAGGATGGTAGCCAGGAAAATAAGATCCCAAACGCAAATCTTGTGGTACTAGACTAGATAGGGGAAATGACTGCAATTCTGAAGAAATTTCATAAAATTGGTGTCCTCAAAATGGAGCTATGCTATTTCATTACTTGCTGGCTAATGCCCCAGTGTCATTCCCTCTTTTAGGGTGAAATTGGACCTGTTGGTAACCCTGGTCCTTCTGGTCCTGCCGGTCCCCGTGGTGAAGTAGGTCTTCCAGGTCTCTCTGGCCCCGTTGGACCTCCTGTAAGTAGCCACTGTCATTAACCTCATTTTGTGGAAGGGGGAAAGAGTGAAGCTGGGGTCAAAGAAGAAGACAAATATTTCTATTAACTGATATTTTTCTCCCTTTTTTGTTTCCTGTAGGGAAACCCTGGAGCCAATGGCCTTGCCGGTGCTAAGGGTGCTGCTGTGAGTATATGGTGGGGATGGAGGCAGGGAGGATGTCGGAAGGGGGCAATAGCTCAGATTTGCTGCTGTGATTTTAATGCCCCTAAATGAGTGCTGCCTCTCCTGTCCGTGGCTTCATGATTGACCACACTGCATTTTCCTTCTCAGGGCCTGCCTGGTGTTGCTGGGGCCCCTGGCCTCCCTGGACCCCGAGGTATTCCTGGCCCTCCTGGTTCTGCTGGTGCTGCTGGTCCCAGAGGACTCATTGTGAGTGTCAGGGCTGTAGCTTTCATCATCCTGAAATCCCACCTGTACCACCCTTTCATTACCACCTAGACTTCCTCTGGTAGTTTCATGATTCTCACTTTTTTCTTCCTTAGCATTTTAACTGGTATTTCTTCTATAAGTGCATGTACATGTACGTACAGTCTCTCCCTCCTGCTATCCTAGACTGTCACCCAAAGGTCAGCGAGGCATATTTCAACACTATCAGTCTTGTCCTTTCCACCAAGACTATTCCCCTGTGAGACATTTCAATGTGAACTGGGCACATTTCTTAGAGAACTTGAGTTTCTCTTTACCTTGATCTATAAACATTCCAAGGTGTTCGTCTGCAAGAAAGTTGTGACAAATGTCTGTCATTTGACCACTGTTTTGTATTCAACCCTAGGGTGAGCCTGGTCCAGCTGGTCAGCAAGGCATATTTCAACACTATCAGTCTTGTCCTTTCCACCAAGACTATTCCCCTGTGAGACATTTCAATGTGAACTGGGCACATTTCTTAGAGAACTTGAGTTTCTCTTTACCTTGATCTATAAACATTCCAAGGTGTTCGTCTGCAAGAAAGTTGTGACAAATGTCTGTCATTGACCACTGTTTTGTATTCAACCCTAGGGTGAGCCTGGTCCAGCTGGTTCCAAAGGAGAGACTGGTAACAAGGGTGAGCCCGTAAGTAGTTCTATTATCATAATTTTATGAAGTTATTACTTTTTTAATCCCAAAAGTAATACTTTAACTTTTTTTAAAGTTATTACTTTTTCTCCACCCGATTATGACATCAAAATGATTTTTCCTATTCCCTCCTCTCTTTTTCTTATTAAACAGGGCTCTGCTGGAGCTCAAGGTCCTCCTGGTCCCAGTGGGGAAGAAGGAAAGAGAGGCACCGCTGGTGAAGCTGGCCCCGCTGGCCCCCCAGGACCTGCTGGGCTGAGAGTAGGTTCCAAATGCTCTTGACCAGACACACCAGAGGCAGATGATAACACCCTTTCCCTGGGTATTGGTCAGAATTATTGAGTGCATTTTCTAGACGGAGGAAGCATCTGCTTTCCATCTGCTTTATTAAATCAGTAACTCGTTCCGGCATGTTATAAAATAGATCTGGAAACAATGATGACCCACTTTTGCAAAATGCTTCCTCCAGACATTCCTTTGGTGTCGGGTAAAAATTTTCGACTTGGTTTGTGTTCGTGTCTCCCGCTTAAGGGAATCAAGATTTCTTGCATCTTGCCATGTTTCAATAAACTCTGCCCCGCTTGGCTCCAGGATCGTCTTCAATGCTCTTCTGTTTCATGTACTTTCTTGCAGGGAAATCCTGGCTCTCGTGGTCTTCCTGGAGCTGATGGCAGAGCTGGTGTCATGGTAGGTTGTCTGTTACTCATTTCCTGGGAAGGAGCTTGAGGCTTCTGGTGGTTGGTGTGTCATTCACTTGAGCCCTGCCCCTCCCCTTCTCTTTAACAGGGCCCTGCTGGTCCACGTGGTGCAACTGGTCCTGCTGGTGCTCGAGGTCCCAATGGAGATGCTGGTCGCCCTGGAGAGCCTGGTCTCATGGGACCCCGAGTAAGTTTTGATTGATTCTGAGCAAGTAACACATGTCACTGCTTCCTTTTTTGAAGATATGAATATTATTTGAAGGCGACAATAAAAGAAATGAAAAGTACTAGTAAATGTGTTAGCAGGCTTGGTGATGGTTGCCTTTTTAAATTTAACTTCATCAAAGCCTAGTAGAGATTTTTTACACATTTGGTTAGTTCATAAATTTCCTATTTATGACTTGATACAATAGCTATGAGGTTTGGGGAAGAACGGATTTCTTTTCATATACCCAAATTAGGTTAGTTCTATCAGCATGAATCTTTTATCTCAATTGGTGAGTTTTATATAAGGTATTTGTGAAACGTATTAGGGCTATACATGATCAGTTTATTAGATTCATAGTGAAATCATTTTTCCAGCAATCACAAAGTGCTGTAATGTATTCAGCATCACACTTGCTATGGGGAAACGACCTTGAGATCCATAGACACCCTATTCCATAGCAATAGAGTAATTTTTTTGCTTCTGTTATCTCTTATGGATGAATATCAACTATAACCACACCATAGACAACTGATAAAGACATCAAACATAGCAATAAAAAATCCACTTTGGAAAATTGCTTGCTAAAAGTATTTGTTTTCCTATGATGAGTAAACATGATATATTTTGCCCATCTAGTATGTTGCTCAACAGTTTCTTGAGATATCTATAAACAGATCGATTGTAAAAGGAAAGGCACAAAATAAATAGAAAATAAAAGATTTCAGGGTTCTTTTCATATTTCCCAGCTAGTGGCTAATACTCCTAATTTACCCCAGGCAATGAACAAAAAAAGTAGGAGAAAGTGCTTTTGTTAGATTTCAATTAATTGGTGCCTCACGAAATACTAATTGTAGTATGTGCATGAAAGTGCCAATATGAAAGCATCCTCACTTGCTTTATAGGGTTTTCCCGGTTCCCCTGGAAATGTTGGCCCAGCTGGTAAAGAAGGTCCCGTGGTAAGTATTGTTCCTTTTCCATTATATTTTCAAGAACACTTATTGCATCCTTATCAAGTCTATTTTGTGGCTTATTTATACATGAACACGTTGGAAATAAATATCAGCCATGTACATCATCTGGGAATGCAAAATAATGGGTTGTAATTACGGAGTCCAAACGAATACAGGACTGAAAGGAGAGAAGGAAAAAGAAAAAACATGACAGGGAAAATTGGAGAGGGTGACAAGGGTATGAAAAGAGGGGGAAAGAGGGAATTGTGTACCTATGAAATTGACTGGCTATGTGTGTAACAACATCCTACTTAGAAAAGGGAGATGGATTCATAATTGATCATGAAGATGCTGGATCACAAGCCTGAGGTCGTGAGACCCTGTTGATGCTGGGTAAAGTTTCAATCAACTCTGGTTTCAGGGTCTCCCTGGGATAGACGGCAGGCCTGGACCCATCGGCCCAGCTGGAGCAAGAGGAGAGCCTGGCAACATCGGATTCCCTGGGCCCAAGGGTCCCACTGTAAGAATCACCACAACCTCCTCTCCCTTGGCACTTTTATTTTTTGGCCACATTTCACCACAACTCTGGTATTTCTCTCTTGCCTCAGTTTACTCTATTTCAAAGGGGTTCCTCTCAACATGGGAAAATTGCAAGCCACTTACCATATTAAAAGTCGGAGTCCAGTGTATCACTCACTGTACACCTGCTGAAATCCATCTCCTGAGTCATGCTTCTGCAGACACAGGTGCACCTTGTTGTATGTGGAGCTGCAGGGCGATGGATCATACCTTAGACAACAGAATTCAAGGACTAGGAATCTAAAAAACAAAAGCAAGAAATGAACATTTCAAAATTGTTATGGTTACTTTGCCATTTAATGTGTATAATTTTTTTAATGTTTATTATAGGGTGATGCTGGCAAACCTGGAGAAAGAGGTCATGCTGGTCTTGCTGGTGTCCGGGTAGGTGCTAACTTCTGTGTAGATCTATCCACGTGGTATTCATCTAGGACACACTTCCTGTGAGGCCACCTGACATCATTTCATCACGTTCTTTCCAAGATGACATCCCCTGGGGTTCTTTTACCATTTAAAATGTTTTTTTTAAAAACCACACTTATAAGGAAATGAGCTGTAACAAAACAGAATATATGTCAAGTCAGAATTATTTATGGATGCATTCGGATTTTATTTAATTCATTCTCTGACCTTCATTAGTTGCCCTCTATCGATGGACTTCCAGTGAACCATATCAAAAGTTGGTAGATGGTATTTGGGCCTTAGCAGGAAACCCAGAATGAGTTTAATTCATGCTAAAATGACAAGCTTTGTTTTGAGCAAGTACTGCCTGAGGCTTTGAGGCATCTTCAACTGCCTGACTCTTGGTGACCCTGAGTTTTTCTGTTAAACATTTTAGGGTGCCCCAGGTCCTGATGGAAACAATGGTGCTCAGGGGCCTCCTGGACCACAGGTGAGTATTTCTCCCACTTGTGTTCTTTTCTGCCCTAAAATAAATATAGTCCTGCAAAATGGCCATCTCCTTTTTTCAGTCCAAGAGTGATGTCACTAGATAGTAATGGTGCCATCTACCATTATTTATGCTGTCTTTCCTATCACTCTCAGGGTGTCCAAGGTGGAAAAGGTGAACAGGGTCCCGCTGGTCCTCCAGGCTTCCAGGTAAGTCATGTGAAACATACAGAATAGTGCCTTTGGTCAGACTATCCATCTGCAAATCACCATACCACTCTCTACCACCATAGAGCACAGGCTGTCAGAACTGAAGCAAAGAAGGTGCATTTTTTCAAGGCAAACTTTTGTGTAATGCTTCACTAACACACAACAGTTAGTGATCATGTTGATATTAGAGAGTTTCCCCCCAAAACCCAATTATTAGCAAACTGCCTGAGTATAGCCATAAGATTGAGATTGGTGTTTCTTTCATCTAGGGACTGCCTGGTCCTGCAGGTACAGCTGGTGAAGCTGGCAAACCAGGAGAAAGGGTGAGTAAAACAAGTTTATAGTAAATTCACCTAAACTTGGGACTTTCCCTGTTTAATACTCTACTGCAGTGTAATTATAACACGCAAAAGGAAACTTCATATTTAATATGTGAATGATAGTGTTCTATATATGTTGGTACTGATGGAGAGAATGAGCCAAGTTACCCAATTTTGTTTAAATTACTTTGTGTTGAGGATTGAATGAAACATCACACCATGGAAGTAAAATAAATCAATGAGCATTCCACTTAGCCTTATTTTTTGCATTGCTCTTGGTAATGTTAAAACATAAATCATGTCCTTCTTCGTAGTGAAAAAAGTTAATGCACTGATTTTTCATCAAACTAGACCATGAAAAATTGGTTTTAATGTTTTTCTTGGCATTCATACATGATACTGTGGTCCACAATCAGAGCACGAGTTCTGAGTCATTTTCTCTGTAATTGTGATGAATGTTTCTCAATTCAGTTACATTATGTGGCCTGGTCTCCTCTGTCAACAGTCAGGCATATTGAGGAGACAGCTGGTCAGTAATAAAGGAGATATACTTGGGTATACATTTTAACTAGGTAATGTGTATAATATAATCATTTCTATTAAAAAAGCAGTCTGTTAATGTAACTAAAAATAAGTAATGTCCAATAGTGTTCATCATTATTTATCATATTATCAAAGGACATAGTCTGTGGTCACTTTTCAAAAAACAATACACTAAATAATAGGAAACTTAAATTTCCTGATACCAGGTTCTAGGATAGATAAAGCTTGGATCAAATGGATTCTCACTCTTTGTATCTTTCCATACACCATTAAAAATTCTCTTGTTTCTAATATCCCATGTAGGCAAGGCCTATCTGACTTTATTTAACTCTTTTAAAACATTTCTAAACATCAATTCGTAAGTAGATTTTGAGAACCTACATAAATATCATGCTTCATTTATTTCGTGTTTTGCCTAGGGTCTCCCTGGTGAATTTGGTCTCCCTGGTCCTGCTGGTCCAAGAGTAAGTATTACTTAACTAACTTTCATAAACTTCTGTGCATGTATTTTTAAAACAAGGACTGTTTCTCTTAAAAACTCTTTGTTTTTTAAATAGATTTTTATTGATTTCAGAGAGGAAGGGAGATGGAGAGAGCGATAGAAACATCAATGATGAGAGAGAATCATTGATTGGCTGCCTCCTGCACACCCCCTATAGGGGATCAAGCCTGCAACCAAGGCATGTGCCCTGACTGAGAATCAAACCATGACCTCCTGGTTCATAGGTCGACCCTCAACCACTGAGCCATGCTGGCCAGGCTCTCCTAAAAACTCTTGATGACCTTGCGACAAGTTCCTGATATTCTTCTATAGTCAAACATAATCTGTAGAGAACATTTGAATTTTTAATTGATAGTAGACTTTTTTACTTATTTGCTCATATTTCTTATTCAAAAACCATATGGTTATAAGAAACATAAATGACTAATATTTTTATTATATTCATGATTTATATAGACAAGCATGATATATTTATGGCAGTGGCTCAACCTTCGTCAAGAAAAATTAATATCTTACTAAGTTTTAAGGTTAATTTTTGCAAGGTATGCTGATGTTTAAAGTCTAAAGCCAAAATCATGAGTCTACTCTTACAAAAAATAAATGAATATATATATATTTAGTTTGTCTGTAGTCATTAGAATAGCTGGAGTGATTAGCTTACCCCTAAAGTGTCCTACTCTGTGGCTAGTTAACATATATCTAGGATGCCCAAGCAAATTTAGTATCATAGAACTGCAGTATCATAGGACCAAGTTAGAACAAGGGACTTGAAACAGTAGCAATGTGGACTTACTTGTTAAATATTCTGGGCCACAGAATGTTATGGCATAATGATATTTACATGCAAATTGGGAGATATTTTAATAGATAGATACAAAAATACATATAACATATACATATATATGTCTCCTCTGGTAAATATTGTCACTGTTGCATAATTATTGCATGCAATTATAAAATGGGAACATAGATACGTTAATATCTAATCTTATTATCACCTGGCATTGCTGTCCACCTAAAATGACACAACATTTCCCTTTGAATATTATACATAACTGGCATCTCTTTTTACCTATGGATCTATCACCAAAAAAAGGAAATAAACAGAAAAAAGGAAATTAATTCTAAATCTGAATATTATAATCTAGGAGAAACAATTTTGGAGTTGTAGCCATAGAATATTAGAGCTGAATGAGATTTTAGAGATCATCTCATCCCATCCCTTCATTTACTGGTAGAGAAATTAAGAAGAAATAATTATAATTTTCTAATCAGTAGCAGAACCAGGATTCTGAAAGCTTAACAAACATGAACTCTGATGTGTAAAACAGTATCTCTGTAATCATGAACCCTGCAACACTTCTTCCAATCCCTTTTTTTACAGGGGGAACGTGGTCCCCCGGGTGAAAGTGGTGCTGTTGGTCCTTCTGGTCCTATTGGAAGCCGAGGTCCTTCTGGACCCCCAGGGCCTGATGGGAACAAGGTAAAATTTCATGTTATATATTGCTGATTTGGCCCACTATCCTCTAGAATACGTAGATCCTTTACAATAGTGAATTCATTGTTTTTCAGATTATTTACTTATTTCCAGTTCTATGATGATGGCCATCGAAGTAAATAATAATCCAATTCCAGTGAACCTGATTTATTTCCAAAAAAGGGAAATCCCAGTCTTCTACACACATAAAAAATTTAGTATGGGTTTTCACTATTGTCTCATCAGACTATTTATAAGGTCTCTTTCTGTTCCTGTCTGGACTGAGAATCTGTTTTAATCTCCAGATACATTTAGATACTATATTTAGAGAACAAGCTTTTACCTTCTCAGTATCCTCTTTCATAGAGTAAAATTTCACAAAGTAGTCTAAATTTTAATAAGCCTGAAAATCTTGTTTCAAAATGGAATCTGGGGCTTCGATTTTAAAATAAGTGAAATTATACATTTCTGAAAAACAGGTCACTTTAATCAGAATAAAGAGAAGACAGCTGATACTACTTTTGATTCTTTAAGGGAAAACGTAAAGATTAGCTGCAGAAAGCTATTCTAGTATGTAGAAGAATATTGGGGGGAGTGATAAAAACAAGGTAAGAGAAAACGTGGAAATCAGAAAGTAAATAAGGTTCACCTCAGAAGCTAGTAGACAGGCTTTAAGTATGTGGGACTGTGGAGCTTGATATAGAAATGGAAGCTATAATCCCTGCTCTTAAGGAGATTAAAATGTAAACATTTCCTCGATCGGTAAGGTCTCTTTCTGTTCCTGTCTGAGCTAAGAGTCTTATTCTCGAGAAATGTTGGTTGACAAGTATTTTTCACTCTCTGCCTCCTATTATCCAATCCTATCCTTTTCTTTCCCTGCCTGCCTCCCTTAGGAGGATTGGGCGCAGGTTATAGAAAAATCACAGCACCAATTCCCACTCCCCGCTTCTCTTCAGGCACTGTCATAATAGCATCTCCCTCCATTCCATTCTCCCTCCTCTCATAGCCCTCCTTTGTGTCTCTAAGTAGGCAATGATGCTATCTATTAAATGTTTCAATTGGAATCCTTCAAGAGTTTGAGTTTTCTTTTCTTTTTTTTCTTTTGCCACTGAAATAATTGATTTCACATATGTTTGATTCAAGGGTGAACCTGGATCCGTTGGTGCTCCGGGCAGTGCTGGTGCCTCTGGTCCTGGTGGACTCCCCGGAGAGAGGGGTGCTGCTGGCATCCCTGGAGGCAAGGGAGACAAGGTACCCTTTTAGTGTTGGACTTGAATACATATTGTTGATGAACTCTAGCGAGAAGGCTGCACGAGGTTGCCCAGTTTTTTACAATTCTTGGCAGGTGGTCTAGTAGCATTTTGATATCTACGCATGTATGTTTCCCCCTGCCACCTAGCACCTACGCATTTCTAAACTCACTAATCTGGCAAAATTCCTTGCTACCATGGAATTTCACACAAACAGATGGTGTTGAGTAATACATGAGGCTCATTTTAATGCCACTAACAATAATGCCTCATCCTGCCCTAATTAATGGCAAAAAGCTATATTGAACAGCTGTCAACCGTGCTGCTGCATTAGTTATGCCATAGGAGGGATTGGGCACTGAAGCCCGCTGTGACGTTACCTTATAATTCTGTCCACATGAATTATGCTTGATTATGCTTCAGGAGGGTCATGGAAATTAGAAAAGAATATTTAACGATCATCTGAAAAGGTCCTTGATTATTTTCCTATTTTTTTTAAATTCCTCCTTTCACACATGTAGAATGGTAGGGAATCAAGGCATTACTAAGATTTTTCAATGACTGAGATATTATAGTATGTTCTGTAAGAACACTTCAGGTTAATTTTGATTAAAAACTTTGGTCGGAAAACAAAACGTGGTTCCTGCTTTATATTTCAGGGCGAACCTGGCCTCAGAGGTGAAATGGGTACCACAGGCAGAGATGGTGCTCGTGTGAGTAAAATTTTGGTTGTTGTTTGTGCTTAGATTATGTTTTTGTACCTCCACTCAATTTGAGTTGAGAAGCTTTCCAAAACAGAACTGACAAATAAGGATTTGAGTTTAGTCAAAGAGCCTCCTATCCCTTCCTGGGTCTACGATGAATGATACCATTTTACATGTTCCAAAAGCAAAAGTCAAGAGGACTTACCACTTTGAAAATCACAGCCTGAATTTTCTACCTTCCTCATTGTTAACTGAACAAAAGTAAAAAGTACAAACCAAAAACTCTGGGGTTACTGGAACTTTAAAGGATTGCTGAAGTCATTAGAGGGCTTTAGAAAAAAAACACTAACTCCTACATTTTAAGAAGCCAGAACCTCCTAACCAGAGCCTGTTAATGCCATGGAGATGCCAAAGATAATCTCATAATAACCATACCACAGCTCTTAAAAGCCATAAGCTACCTTGGTTTCTTCTTCTCATCTCTCTCTTGGAGCTGATATCTCACTGTGGCACATTCATAGTAGTCCTTTCTCTGAGTCACAAAGTCCTAACAGTTCCAAACAAGGCCACACATTTGCTGCTCTCAAGGGAATTGGATAAGAGCAGAGAGTTCAGATCTCCCCAATTCCTAACCTGCCCTTGCCTTACACATTTCCATAACCTTTACCACGGAAGCACTCTCCTCCTGAGAGTGGCTTCTAACAGTATTGATAATTAGAACTGAAACGCATCAAAGGTTTTTTTGATGTCCACCTAGAGTGTGCAATGAAAGTGGCCTGTCCCTGGATAAGCACAGCAGGGGGGGACAGCAGGGGTCACTGTTGATGGTAAGGGAGGTTATTGTAAGATCTGTTTCCTTTTTGGTCCTAGGGTGCTCCTGGTGCCATGGGTGCCCCTGGTCCTTCTGGAGCGTCTGGTGACCGGGTAAGCATGCATTTTCTCTGAGTTGCAACTCTCCGAGCCAATAGCAGTAGCTAAAATTTCCTGCCTGCCTTAGCTCCCAAAAGTCACAGTAATTCATTTTTATGGCTTGGTTTTAAACCCACTTATTTAAAAACTTATGTTTTATGATGGGGCAGCAGGAAACACTGTGTGTTTAAAGTTCTCTTCCCCTTCCTACATATATGCCAGCTATGTGATCTACACTTTACTCCTTGTCATTTGTTTTAAAGTCCTACTCTGTTGCTCATTAAAAACATCCTAATGCACTGAGCCTTCTCAAAGCCTACAATTGTAAAAAAAAAAAAGAAAGAAAGAAAAGAAAAGAAATCAATAAAATACATAGTGTGCTCATTTCCCATTGAACACTTAAAATAGGCCTTATTTATTGTACTGCACAGATTGCAGCAAATAGATTAGCCCTGTGTTCATCTAAAAAATAGAATGTCCTCTTCCTGGTATTGTAGGCACTGATTTATAGAGTTTTTGCAAGTGTATGACCAATACCACTTCAGCCCACAAATTGAATACAAACATTAAGCAGAGTCAGAACCACTTCATTTTACTCTGTAGATGTGCATTAGTTATCTCTCCCAATGCATCAGCAAACTCGGACAGGGGACAACTGTCTAGCATGGTTACCTCTCCTTCCAACTCTGTGAGCATTTGTGTTTGGCACATTAACAAGCTCATCTTTGGCCCCATCATAGGGTGAAGCTGGTGCTGCTGGTCCTGCTGGTCCCGCTGGTCCTCGTGGTAGCCCTGTAAGTAGAAACCTGGGTCATTGCGGACACTCATAACTTTTAGACATTGATGAACCTAAGATGCTAAGACATAAAAATGCCTTCTCTCACCTAGGGTGAACGTGGTGAAGTTGGTCCCGCTGGTCCCAATGGATTTGCTGGTCCTGCCGTGAGTATCATGTAATAAAGGTTAATCTGAAAACATCCCAAGTTGGTAAGTGAGTGAGTTTGGACTACCTGAACCATAAAACTGTTCCTTTCCAACAGGGCGCTGCTGGTCAACCTGGTGCTAAAGGAGAGAGAGGAACCAAAGGGCCCAAGGGTGAAAATGGTGTTGTTGGTCCCACAGGCCCTGTAGGAGCTGCTGGACCATCTGTAAGTTGAATTCACTGGTGCTCAACAGCTACCTATGAAATATTAGAATTGCACATACATCAATTAAATTCCTACTATACACAGCAGAAAATATGCCAGATAGAAGATTATTTTTAAAATAAGAATTAACATTTGCATCCTGTTTTATATTTGTAAAAGTCTCATTTATATTACCTTATTTTTTGATAATCCCATACATGGTAATATTGAAGTAAGAACACTTATTTTATTTTATATGACACAGATAATTATTTTTAATTTCTATATTTGCTTCTAAGAGACATGAGAATGATTCCTTTGAATAAAAGAATAACAATTGTAAGAATTGTTTTGTGATTTGATCCCATCTTCTTTTGTTTCCATTTAGGGTCCCAATGGCCCCCCAGGTCCTGCTGGAACTCGTGGTGATGGTGGTCCCCCTGTGAGTATTTAAAATGGACTCATGACTTTTCTTTCTTTAAAATCTAAGAGGGACATATTTACAAAATAGAATACTATGCAGCTGCAAAAAAGAAGGAACTCTTACACTTTGAGACTGCATGAAGGGGCAGGAAAAGTATTATGCTAAGCGAAATAAGCCAGTCAGAGAAAGACAAGTATCACATGATCTCCCTTATATGTGGAATCTAATGAACAAGCTAAACTGATCAACAAAAGAGATCCAAAGACATGGAAGCATGGAACAGATTGACAAATCTTAGACGGAAAGGGAAGAGAGTAACCAAAGAACTTATATGCATAACCCATGGACACAGACAATAGTGTGGTAGATGTGGGTGGTGGTGGCAGGTGCAGGGTAAAGGGAGTCAGTGGGGGGGAGAAGGGGGGCATCTGTAATACTTTCAACAATAATTTTTTTAAAAAAATTGAATAAGTACAACTTGAAAGTTTGGATATTTTGGGTAAATTTGTACTAATATAAGGAGACACTTGAGATTCAAGTTAACTCTGATCAAAGAAATTCTCATATTGAAGTGAAGGTCAGCTTCATAGGATATTAACATAATCCCAGGTATGACTCAGTGTCATGTATGTTACTACCACCTCACTTGAGGTAATAACCCAAATTAAAATTCCTGGTGGTTTAATTGTGGAATGGGTAAAACATTTCTTTGATAGCCTTTATCTTCTTGTTGATGCTTCACTTCTTCTGCCTGACCAAGTCCTTTCCTTTGACATCCAGTGTTATCACACCAACTCCCTAGAGACCCTGAGCTCCCTAAGGCTCCTTCCTTCTTTCATTGGACAACAACTAAAACTTGGTCTTTTGTCGTATCTTCCTCTGTAAACAAAATTCCTTATTCAGTGTCCATTCCCTTAGCACCCAGCCAGGCAGTTAAGATAGTTATTAAGGTATACAGGACAAGGTGTAATAATGGCATAGTGTCTTTATCTTTTTGTTCTTACAACCTCCAGTAATATATTAACATTTAGAAAAGGACCATCAGAGCTTTAATGCAAAATATGGGTGTTACAAGTGGAGGAATGCTGGTGAGGAAGATGGTAGAGATGGAGGGTCTTGGGGTCCTGATTTAATAATACTCTATATGAGGCTGCCACTACCTACTCCTTGGTCCATCCCTTTGTCACATAGTATTGAGGATTTGTCAGAATTTTCCATTTTACCTGAATCTTTGAAGTTGGTGCTGACTGTAGAATTTTAATATGGAATTTTAATGTGCTTGGTTCTAGGGCATGACTGGTTTCCCTGGTGCTGCTGGACGTACTGGTCCTCCTGGACCCAGTGTAAGTAAATCACTACAAAATATGTCTTCATACACTCTAGCCAAAAGACCTGGCTTCTGGTGGGAAACTGTGTAAAAATATGTTACTAATATTTAGCTATCACTTTCCTAGTCTAAAATCAGTTTTTCTGAACCGTTAAGGCAAATTCGTCACAAATTATATCTTATAATATCAATTTAAGAGGATGTTATTCATGTGAACACAAGTTCCCTTTTAGGGGCATAGTCTTTTTGTTAAAAATAAAAAACAGAACAGTTTTAGTCACATATCAGATATTTCTATATCTAATTACCCTTTATAGCCAACATTCTGTCCCGTTGTTAAGGTATAATTGTTCCTGAATTTAAAGGTGGTTTGGCCTCTAATTTAATTCTGAATCAGACTCTTCTGTCAGGACTCAAGAGAATTTAATTAATTACCAGGGATTAAGTCTTCCGGTTAAGGTTTCAGGGGGGAAAAATAGCAAAGATGTTGATTTCTTGGAATCCTTCTACAGGTTCATAACACAAAAATCTTCATTCCCTGTAGGCATTTAATTAAAGCTAGTTGAGAGCATATGTGATTCCTCACTTATGAACAAAATGCCAGTATTGGCTTTCTTCAAAAAATAAATGACTAGAGTTCTCCAAAACTCACTCATTTACAACCAACTTGATAACTTTGCTTAGTTCCAATATGCCAGGTTACTAGTACTACAGCATTGCTTCCCCTCACAGACATTTGCCTTAGCTTCTACCTCCGTTCACTTTATTACAGCCTCCAGAGAAGGAAGATGGGAGTTGCTTCTTTCTATAAGAAAGAATGTTTAAAAATCTAAACATTTCTCCCAAATGGCCAGGATACTATTTTGTTGTTTCCCCTGCATCTTAATATCAAAAATCCCAGCTGCTCTCTTCCAGGTCCGTGATGATTAACAGAAAGTAAATGACCTTGTACATTTGCCCACAGGGTATCACTGGCCCTCCTGGTCCCCCTGGTGCTTCTGGAAAAGAAGGAATCCGTGGGCCTCGTGGTGACCAAGGTCCAGTTGGCCGAACGGGAGAAACAGGTGCAACTGGGCCTCCTGGCTTTGTTGGTGAAAAGGGTCCTTCTGGAGAGCCTGGTGCTGCTGTAAGTGATTTTAAACTCCTCTTTCCTAATACCTTACATTGAATCAAAATAAAACCCTTACAAAAATCTTCAAATGGTGTATATTTGTTGATGAGCATTGCAGGCTCTTGAGTAGAGCTCAGTTAAGCCAGGAAATCTGTCTAACAGATATTGAGGGTCATCGCTTCAGTGGATGCTCAGAAGGCACTAGATGGGAATAATGATAAAAGAGAAAACTTGAGGTTTTACCAAAACAGCCCTTTATGTTCTTGAGGGCACCTTAAGATACTGGGATTAGAACAGAATCCCAGCGCAGTGGTCATCCTACCATCTATTAGTTGATCTCAGTAAGCTACCAGTTCCTTCAACGTGCATTGTCCAATATTATTCCTACTCTGAAATGTGCTTTTGTTAGACCTGGTTCAGTTAGAGGCCAAGGTCAAAATTTGCTTGCTGGCATAGATTCTATAAAAACTCTACTCCATAACCCAAAGGGCTAAATTCATTGATTTCAACCACATATTTTTAATGTTGTTCCACTGGTTTCAAGAAGGGACCAGGAACAAAAATATGCATGCCAAGATGGAAACTCATTGCCCTCATTAAAGAAAAGACATCTAAGGATATGTCCTGCTAGCCGGACTGTTTCTAAACTGAGGATAGCTCATTCTCATAACCCTCAAGCCAACCTGTTATCAGCTATGGTCTTTACAGTAACACTCAGTCTTCTTCATCTTGTTCAGGGACCTCCTGGCACCCCAGGTCCTCAGGGTCTTCTTGGTGCTCCTGGTATTCTGGGTCTCCCAGGCTCTAGAGGTGAACGTGGTCTACCAGGTGTTTCCGGATCTGTGGTGAGTGTTTGACACCATTCTTATTCTCATTAACATAATAAAAGATTTTAAAAGCTGCCACTTCAAATGTGACAGATTGATCACTGAATAACTCCACTTAAGATATTTTATTCATGGCATTTCCTTTATTCAGATCACATGTCACTTCTCCAAGAAGCTTTAATACCACCTTACTTAGACACATGCAATAAAGACACAGCTTAACATTATGCAGAATGATTTTTGTTCTTTTTACATGCTTAAGAATGACATAAGCTCTAATTGCATTTACTCCTCTTCAATATGAAATGCTAGCATCATTTATCCTGTGGGAAGAATGAAACTCTGAAAGTTCTGAATCATCCCATTAAACCTTAGACGTGACAGCAACTAGGAACCATCTCATCTCCATAAACTCTCTCAACTTTATGAATTCATTTCATTTGGGCTAGCAGATGAAACTAGGCTCACCGTATACAGAGGACATTCCAAAACTACATAGAGCAGGGCATCTTAAGTGTGTAGGAGAACGGTGAGGGTGACAGTTCTTACCATTTTATAGCCTATTCATTTTCATTCTTTCTTCAAGCTGAAAATTCCTGGCTAGGGTAGTTCTGGGAAGGTAGGATTGGCACTCTGTTTAATGAGAGAAATGCTATTTTGTCTTCTCTGCCTTTTTAGGGTGAGCCTGGTCCTCTTGGCATTGCCGGTCCACCTGGGGCCCGTGGTCCCCCTGGTGCTGTGGGTAGTCCTGGAGTTAATGGTGCTCCTGGTGAAGCCGGCCGTGATGTGAGTCCAACACTTGGTTTGTAAAATAAAACCTGGCAATATTTCATTATGTGCAGCTTTATATCCTGCCCTGAGGTCCACTTGTTCCAAGTTTCTAAACATGGTGTCAGTAATATCTACATATACTGACCACTCCTAGTATTGAAAATAAAATAAAAAATCACTTGGGATGCAGGGTAGGTCTTTAAATAGTATACAATACTTCAAAGCTGGCCAAAATATTAAGAAAACACTTCTAAAAAAAATCTAGGTTGGCACGGTGTTGTTCCTATTTTTAACTGTCTGAAAGGGTTTTCACTATTGAGTTCTGGGAGTGATGAAGGCAGAATAGCTGAACTAAAGGGGCTGGTGGGCTACAG